TGAAGGGAAACCAAGGGAGCAGCGTAACGAAGCTGAGTTCTTGCGCAGGGGGGCTGGTGCGGGAAAACTGTGGACAGATCGGAGTTAGATCCAATTTGCGGAAGGATCAGGAAATCAGACTTGTGCAGAGGACTTACGGTCTGGAGAGGTGGGAACTGGTTTGAGGGAGGAGTGGTCCGGTCTGGGTAGCAGGGACTGGGATCCAGGAGTGAGACGTGGAGGGAGCTGAGCTTGGGGAGGTCCAGGAGGGTTAGGTGGGCGGCTGGAGGTGGTTCTGGCCAGGGGAGTGGCTGAGAGACGAGCGGGGTTGGAGCTTCAAATGATGCGGGCTCCAGAGTTCTGCCAGTCGAAGATGAGTGTGGAGGTTTTGTCTGGGAACAAGAGCAGGAGGTCAAAAGGCAAAAATCCAAAAACTCATTAAATTCTTAAAACTCCAAATTACAAAAACACAATCTAACTCTCAAAAAACTCGAATAAGATAAACTAGTGGCTGTTAGAAGGTACCCAGGTAGAGTAATCATCCAGCGAAGTGTAGGAGTCTCCCAGCTGCTTAAATACCCCTGGCCAGCTGATGAGCAGATCTGCTGCAGCTTGGTCACCTCCAGACACGCCCACCTGCAGAGGGAAACTCAAAAGACAGGGAGTGACAGCAGGGAAATACCTCAGACCGTGACAGATTATTTTAAATATAACCAGTACCTGTGTCTGTGCAGTACCAGTCAATGATGTTAAAACACTGGTATAAGAGTCTTTTTCTTTTTTAGATTAGAGTTACTATAATTTCATTTTCACACTACTGTTACTATTGTCCCTATTTTCTGTTTTCATGGTTTCTTGTCCTTTTCATATTGTGCTCATATTTCATTTGATCTTACCTGTACAATGTTTTTTTCTGCTTCTGTGAATTGGAATAAGAGTCCAGAATAAAGAATACTTCACTTGGGTTGATATGTGTATAAAAAGAAATCCTTACTGATGAATTACATTGTATTTTTCACGATTTTTAGGTCTTTAAGGGATTTAAATCATTATCCGGTAGTCTCAAGGCCTAGCATATGAATTGTTAAAGTTTGTGCAAATAGCTGTCAGATTTAAATAACTAAGATAATGTTATAATCAGTCAATTCAATTCAAGTTTATTTATATAGCGCCAAATCACGACAAGAGTCGTCTCAAGGCACTTCACATAATAAACATTCCAATTCAGGTCAGTTCATTAAGCCAATCAGAAATAATGTTTCCTATATAAGGAACCCAGCAAATTGCATCAACTTTACAGCAATCCTCATACTAAGCAAGCATATAGCGACAGTGGAGAGGAAAACTCACTTTTAACAGGAAGAAACCTCCAGATGATCCTGGCTCAGTATAAGCAGCCATCCTCCACGACTCACTGGGGATTTAGAAGACAGAGCAGACACACACACACACACACACACACACACACACACACACACACACACACACACACACACACACACACACATTCACACGCTGGTGGGGATGAGCTACAATGTAGCCACAGCTGCCCTGGGGCGCACTGACAGAGGCGAGGCTGCCGAGCGCTGGCGCCACAGGTCCCTCCGACCACCACCAGCAGACAAGGTGGGTTAAGTGTCTTGCCCAAGGACACAATGACAATGACAAACTGAGCAGGGCTCGAACCTGCAACCTTCCGATTGCTCCTGTGCCACCGTCACCCGTCTAATAACATAAATTCTTCTCTTTTGGACTTGATTGCAAATATGAAAAAGTCTAATATAAAAACAAATAGCACTTCGACTCAAAATAGCGGGCAGGGGTCTATTTTGTCTTGGCCCCTAAAAAGCCTTGATACAGCCCTGGTCGTCGGAGTGTGTTTTAAAGGGGATCTGAACTTGATCAAATATGTAAATATTACATATCAATGTTTCTCACAGCAGTGGATGAACATGAAATAACTGAAATTATTAGCAAATGTAAGAATAAAAAAATCCCTGGATTGTGATGACATTGATATGATGGTGGGCAAAAGGGTAATGGAGGGTATTAACCATTTACATACATCTGTAACCAATCATTTCAAACTGGTTTATTTCTTGGTAGAATTAAAACAGCTAAAGTTATACCTGTCTACAAAGCTGGGAACAAACACCACTTTACAAACTACCAGCCTGTCTCTTTGCTACCACAGTTCTCCAAAATTCTTGAAAAATTGTTTGATAACTGACTGGAAAATGTATGGACAAACATTAAGTACTCACAGACAGTCAGTATGGACTTAGATCTGGTAGAACAACATCACTGGCTTCACGTGATTTAATAGAATACATCACAAATGCAATAGACAAAAAAATCATGTTGCAGGGTTATTTATAAATTTTTAAAAAGCATTTGATACAATAGATCATGAAATATTGTTAAGAAACTGGAACATTATGGCATCAAAGGGGTTGTTTTAAATTGGGTGGCAAGTTACATAAATAACTGGCAACAGTTTGTGATGATCAATAAATGCTGCTCCTCATGTCTGGACATTGCTTGTGGGGTCCCACAGGGGTTAGTGTTGGGCCCAAAGTTATTCCTTTTATACATCAATGACATCTGCCAAGTTTCCAGGGTATTAAAGCTTGTTCTTTTTATCGATGATACGAACATGTTTTAATCTGGGGATGATTTGCAACTGTGATTTCAAACAACGACTACAGAAATGAATAGAATAAAATAAAGAACTGGTTAGATAAAAACAAGTTATCACTAAATTTGAGAAAACAAAAATAATGGCATTCAGAAATAGCAAATTAAACACAAATAATATAATTCAAATAAATGGGGTAGACATTGAAGGGTTATTGAAAACAGATTTCTGGGGTGACAATAGTGTCATGGTTTTGGGGACGAGTTTAACCCAAGACATGCAGAATCACATCTCGCGCACCAAACCGGTAAAAATAAAGTATCTTTATTAAAATAATTGGGAACTGAGGACACACTGGATAAGGCCCAGTGGACTGCAACGGAACCGCAGCGTCTGAGGAGGGGAGAGCAGAAGAGCAGGTGAGTACAGGGAGGTAAGTCAAGGAGTATCCTGAGGAGTCAAGGTAAGGTCCACAATGATCCAAAAATCCTAGGAACAGGTAAGCAGGGTAAATCCACAGAGACTCAAAAATTCCAAAAATCACTAGAGTTTGACCAGGAGATACAAAGGGCTGGAACTACCAAGTTGTAGTTAATAATCCGGCGTCAAGTTGTGTTCTCCTCCTCCTCTTATAGCTGGACCCACTGATTGTTGATGAGCTGCAGCTGGAGCCTCCCTCTCCTGAAACACAGTAGCTCAAAGATGGAAACAATGAGAGGAGTACTCACCCCGGCACATGACAAATAGATGAGAAACCTAATTGGAAAGCTCATATGACACACATTCATTCTAAAACATCAAGAAGTATTTTAGTACTAGATAAAGCTAAACAGGTATTTGATCATCCTTCACAACACATTCTTTACTTTTCACTGGTTTGACCATATTTAAGCTACTGTGCAGAGATCTGGGGTAATAACTACAAAACTACATTAACTTCACTTGTTATTCTTCAAAAATATGCAGTTAGGATCATTCACAAAGCAGGTTACAGGGATCATACACAGTCACTATTTTTACAACTCAGAAAATTCAAGTTTGTGCAACTTGTGGAATATCAAACATGCATTTTGTTTAGAGCTAAAAATAATCAATTACCAGGATATATTCAAAACATCTTTACTACAAGGAAAGGTGGTTATCATTTAAGAGGGTTTTGTTTCCTTAAAATTAGTAAGGTGTTTCTGTGTGTGGGGTGAAGCTATGGAACGGTTTGAATGTCGAGTTGAAGCAATGTCCAAACTTCAAGCAGTTCAAAAAGAAATATAAAGAAACAATTATCTAGTATACCACTTTCCACACTCGACTGCTTTCTTCTACAATCTGCTCCTTAACTGTATTATTTCCTGCTATTTCAGCTGTTAACTTTATTTTCTCTCTAAGTGTTTTTCTCCCCAGAAGAAGCTTCAATGATGTTCTGCTGAGCTGTGGTGGCCTCATGGAGGGGGCCATCGTCTTGAACACTGTTGCTAACCACTTAAACATTCTCCCTCTCCTGATGACAACACTTTATTTTCTTTGACATTGAATGTGCTACTACTAGTTTACCCGTTTAATTATAGCTTCACTAGGATAAATAGTATAGCTTCACTAGGATAAATAGTGTGTGTGTGTGTGTGTGGTGTGTGTGTGTGCGTGCGTGCGTGCGTGCGTGCGTGTGTGTGTGTGTGTGTGTGTGTGTGTGTGTGTGTGTGTGTGTGTGTGTGTGTGTGTGTGTGTGTGTGTGTGTGTGTGTGTGTGTGTGTGTGTGTGTGTGTGTGTGTGTGTGTGTGTGTGTGTGTGTCTGCCTGCTCTGTCTTCTCCATCCCCAGTGAGTCGTGGAGGATGGCTGCTTATACTGAGCCAGGATCCTCTGGAGTTTTCTTCCTGTTAAAAGGGAGTTTTTCTCTCCACTGTCGCTAAATGCTTGCTTGGCATGAGGATTGCTGTAAAGTCACTGACACTAGTAAGTGACTTGACGGACCTGCTGGGTTCCTTATATAGGAAACGTTTTACTGATTGGCTTAATGAACTGACCTGAATTGGGATGTTTAAGTGCCTTGAGACGACTCTTGTCGTGATTTGGCGCTTTATAAATAAACTTGAATTGCACTGAATTAAAATTGTTTTTATGGCCTGCTGATTCTCGTAGATAAACATCTTTGCATCATAATCACCAGAATTTGATAGTATAGTTTTATAACTGGATTGGATTATGTAACTAGATCTGATCCTGTATCTGATTTGGACTTAAATGACCTGAACGTAATTTGATAGGAATTAGTTTGCGTTGTTTCTCATGCCCATGTTTGTTGTGGCTTGGCACACACACACACACACACACACACACACACACACACACACACACACACACACACACACACACACACACTATCTGCCAAAGAATACTCCATACATAAAAGTGGCTTAAATTCACCATCTTGCCATCTCACCAGCTGCGTTGGCAGGTTTGCCATCCCTAATGTTGTCACGCCAGGGTCAGAGATGACTTAAAGGGGAACAAGGTAGTTTAGGCTTGCTTTTAGCACCCCCTAGTGTCCATTTGTAGAACCGAAATCAAACCTTTTCTCTTCGTTGAGCGTTCATTTTTTTAAATCATCATGAAGACCTCCTCTGCCCAGTGCCTGTGCATTACCATAACAAATGCATGCACCATACCCTTCTAGATTATGTTAACACTAGTTTTATTTTTATTGTTTTATCAGCAGCAGGTGGCAGCCACAAGCTCATCCAACTTATGAAAAAAGTTTCACAAAAATTATGACATTTTTCACTTGATCATTTTTATTAAGGGCTAAAATGTCCAGTGTTTGCCCAACAGACAACCCATAATAAAGACATTAAAGAACCAAACTTCATGAATGTTTTTTGTGACAAAGAAGTATCTGTTCCAATCACTCTATCAGAGAAAAATCAGAGTTTTAGAAATAACGGGACACTCAGTAGAGCCATTACATTATATTTTTTACAAGTGTGTGTAAACCTCTGACCACAACTGTAGATCTGCTTGCTGTGCCATGTCAGTCTGTCCCTGTCCTGCTTGTATCAGGTCTCCGGTCCAAAAGAGGAAAGGGGAGGGAAATCCACCGGGCCAGGAGCAGACCAGTCTGAGAGAGGTGTGGTTCAGAGCTGCCTCCACAGAGCAGGAGGGGGACCCATCGGGGGGTCTGACGGGAAGAGAACAGCTGCACATGTAAGAATGTTGGCCATCTAAGACATCTGACTGACTGAGATCATCTTTAAAGAACATCATCATACCTGCACCCCATTCAGTAAATGCCCTATAGACTCTCATCACGTTTTCTTTTTCATTGCAAACAGTTACAATGGTTGACGTAACCCTGAAGCTCACAACCGCATCATGTTTGAGTTGATGGAACAATCTCTTTACTTACATTCACTTCAGATGTACACAAAGCTAAAATATGAACGGAGAAAGAAGAAGTCTGCGCTTTGTTCCAACAGACTACTGTACGTTGAGGCCATCGACTTTAAATCAAGCCTCTTTGCCTGGAACAGTTAACCCGACAATAAAAACAAAAGGACAAAAAAAAAACAACAACAACTCTTCACTGAATGAAAACAGAGCTTCTGTAAATCAAAAGGATCATGACTATTCAAAACCAACAAAAAATGACATTATAGGTCCATGAAATTATAAACAATTCAACACGTGTTATTACTATTTATTCGGTGTCCCCTCTGAGATAAACATTGAGAAGGAAGCCATTAAATCACCATTCAGTGTAACAGTTTAATCCCTTAATGCCTGAAATATTAAACAATAATCATTTTATAAGTCTGAACTGTTTATTATTAAATGTTAATAAAACAACAATTAAATAATTAGTTTTCATGCAATTATACAACATTAAAATAGTAAATCAAATAATAGACAAATAAAATTGGCTCATGCCATCAATAGATCCTCCACCAGAGGGCAGCATGCAGCTGTTTAGCAATGAAGGTACTGGTCCTGATGCCCCGTCTGGACACTTAAGGCCAGAACAGGTTTGGTTATGATTTAGTTTGCAATAAAAAACAAAAAAAAAGGTTAATTTTAGCCTAATTTACCAGCTGATTGATGGTCTGAGTCAATACATGAAAGAGGATTAGGGTGAATGAAAGGAAATAAATAAAATAAAGCAAATTCAGACTTTTTTCTCAGAATTCCAACTTTAAAAATCCTGAAGCCTGGGGCACACCAGAGGCGGATGTGCTGCGCTGCATCGAGTCGCGTCGCGCCATCATTTTAAATGGAAGCCATTATAGCTGATGACAGTGGGCACACAGGGAGCGCCATGTCCCAGAAGCGCCACGCCAAGGCGCTGAAGATCGGTACCAGTTCTATCTGAAGCGCCGCCAGCTGTTTACAACATTGTGGAGTACTTTATAACAGACATTACGTCACATACTCAACGGCAGTTTTGTTAACTCTGAGGTACTATTGATCTTGTAGCGTTAGGAAGCTTATAATGGTCTGCCCTTAACAGCTGCCCCTTCGCACAGTAACATCGCCAAGGTCGGACGCTTGGTTCAGTATGTTTACATTCCAGGAGAAGAGACAGAAGAAGAGAAGAACGCTTTCCTTTAATTAAAGTACTTTATTTGTGATAAAGCTAATCAAAGCATTTGTTGATCATTAATAATCAGGTGAATGATCTGTGAAATAAAGATGTCATGAGTTATGTGTTTAAATGAATAAACAGGACTGCACCAGACACACTGATATACATTACCATGGAAACGCATGACACATTGTTTTCAGCCAATCAGAGCTTTCGTCTGTCGTAGGCAGAATCTGGGTTGTTTAATGAAAGTCGTCCAATCCGGTTTACTGAAATTTGTAAACAATGAAGGGATATAAAATAAGGCAACGCCATTTTATACTCAGTTCCACGTTAACCTCAGTTCCGTTCATGTGGAGGTCCTAAGGATTTCCATTGTCATCATTAAGGAAGTTGCAGGCTGGCCAGCTGTACTTTCTACTTTAAGCTGAGAACTGTCAAGCTGGAGATTTCCGTCGTTTGAACCAACTAGACGACGTTCCTTCAAAATAAGAGTGAACTTGCTGACGCCTGCCAATGCTACCTGAGTCGACCCTTCAGACGGGCTTTGTGTGCTGTGACCGCTGTTTCAACCAGCTCCAGTACCTCTGAAGGTCCGAGGACCTGGCAGTTCCTGATCTAACACGGGAGGCTCCACTGGGTACGTAAATACGGCAAAATGGCTGCTCGTGTCATCAGCTTCTGAAGCCTCGTGGTTCCTAGTCATAACAACCAGATTCGCTACGTCAGCCTAGAGATCCTGAACACACACACACACACACACACACACCAACACGAAACATCCAAATCCATATACATTCATCATTGAGATAGTCCTGGTAGATTGTAAGAATTTATAATTATAGAAATTAAAGATTCTTAAACGATCCCAACTCTCTCGTTTCTTGTCTCTCAGTCAATACAAAGTGTTTAAGTAAACTCCCTGATGATAAAAACAACCCTTCTGATTATTAAACTTAGATCTAATTACAGTGTATGAATATACAACTTCAGATCATTACATTCTTTAAATGTTCAAATAAATTGCATACTTACCCATTTTTAAATAATTTGAGTCTCTCAAAGGTCGACGGCAAGTCTGATCACGTATAAGCAACAAGAGTCACTTCCTGCTTTCTGTTCTCAAGTCCCGCGTGATGTTGTGACTATCGCACGACTTACCAAGAAGCGTTCAGCGGTGTGGCGCAGCCCGTCCTGTGTGACCGCTTGACTTCTCCTAATCTCCGGCGCGACTTTGCGCGGCGCGTCCGCCTCCAGTGCTCCCCAGGCTTGAGACAAAGGTCAGAATTAGCTTTCTTTCCTTTTTTCTTTTCAGTGGCCCTAATACTCTTCCGTACAAATGCAGCTAATTCTCTAACATCTCAATCTTTTACACAAAAGGATGTCACACTATTCCAGACAAATATGGAGGAAATGGGTTTAAAAGAAGCAACATGGTAAGAGATCAAAGGTCACACTCACAGTAGATGATCAGGCGGATCGTTTTCTTTGACCTGGTGTTCAGGTAGGAGTTTTGTGCCAGGCAGGTGTAGTTGCCAGCAAACATACGGAGGATCCTGTTGATGGTGAACTGAGGTCCGATGTAGATTTGTGACTTGTTGTAGAACCAGAGGTACTGACTGGCCGGATTGGACTGGGCACCACAGGATAGAGAAGCATTCTCTGTCTCCAGAACTGAGTATCCATACTCAGTTCTTCTGTATGGAGCCACATCTACGTGAGGAACGTCAGGACCAACTGTGGAAACAGAATGCAAATAGTATGACACTGAAGGACGACGACAGTGGGTCAAAGGTCATGTCACTTGCCATTCTCTATAATTTTCTTCAATGGAAAACGGCGATGCTAACCATTAAAACCATTCTACCTCGTCCTTTGAGCTTAACAAAATGGGGTTCAGTGTGTGCTCTAAGGTTAAACACAGGGAAATACATTGATGCAGTTCTGAGGAATAAAAAAATGGCCAACCAGCACTCTGTGGTATCTCTTACTGTAATATCTAATATGGGCAGAATGAATGTGTTTGGGTTACACGTTAACAAGCTAACAATGGTATGTAGTTCATTTGGGCCGCATTAAATAGTAAGAGACCCCACAAAGGGCTGGTTGTCCTGGTTTTTGTCCCTGGGAGTTGATCTTGTTCCTGATATGTAACTCTAAATTGCAACGATTGATTTTAAAATTTCCTGTCTTAATAAATAGTTGAAACCAAGAATGAAAATCATTGATCTGCTGACACTTACAGGTAATATTTAGCCATGATATCTCAGAGCTTTCAGTGTTGACAGTGTGATGGGTTGAAATGTTCTAATTACTGTTTATTGTGTTTACCAGTATGTGTGATTTAATGAATAATAAGAAACAGGTTCATTATTGTTTACATTTGCATTGCTTGTCAGTACTTTTTCCGTTATGCATCTTAGACTTCATTGCAATTTAGTTGTTGTAGTAACGAAGTGTGGCCACCGGAGGGAGTCTAGCGCTAGTGAGCCTTAAAAGAGCACGACCTTCCTGGCTCATTCAATCCAAGTTTGAGCAGAGGGAATAACGTGTCCGTGTTTCTTTTATCATTCACTCCCCTTTTCAGGTAAGATTGTATGCATGAGCACACCTGTACTGTAAGATGTAACCAGACCAATGGAACGTTCGGAAATGCACTGTGTGGTAGATTCGTTGTTTACTATGTTTTGGAGCTGTTGAATAAGGTTTAGCCACCGTTAGCCGTTAGCCGTTAGTCCATAGCCGACGATGCTTACTAGCTAAGAAGATGACAGTTGGCACTTTTCACTTGTTTCATTGTGATGACTCTGTATGTATTTGAGTTGAATTAAGTGATTCAATACACGTTTGAGCAGAGGGAATAACGTGTCCGTGTTTCTTTTATCATTCACTCCCCTTTTCAGGGGATTTACAACAGCACTGTCTGCCACACACTGGTACCGGCTCGTGTGGTTCCGGTTTACGCTGGTCATGCTGACGATGCTGCTGTTGCCCTGAGTGAATGTTGAGAATTTCCCACTGAAGATTTGGCGCTGCCACACATAGTAGATCGGCCCGGTGCCCTTTTCTACGTTGCACCTCATCCATATTGTGGATCCTTCCTCTGCAGAAGCATCACTCATCCAGAGAGATGGTTTACTGACAGGAACTGGATCCAAGAAGAAGTGGTGTGTGTGTGTGTGTGTGTGTGTGTGTGTGTGTGTGTGTGTGTGTGTGTGTGTGTGTGTGTGTGTGTGTGTGTGTGTGTGTGTGTGTGAAGACATAGCTAGTAAAAGAAGAGCTATAGTTCATTAAAGGAGAAGCTAACACTGATTTTAAGAGGACTAACCCGGTGTAAGCTTGCAGGTCTTTGGTTGAACCATTAGTGGGTGTTTAGCATAGCATGTGTAGGGCTTCCCGCCCTGGACGGTGCCATAGCGAAGGACCAGGATGTTGGACTCTTCTTTTCCGCTTAGGGTTTGAGCCCCTGGTTCCTCCCACCATGTTAAGGCTCTAGGGGCCCCTCCATCCCAGGTGAAGAGAAAAGTCACATATTGTCTGTCGCTCATGTTGGTGAAACACACCGGCTCTGCTGGAGGAACATCTGATAGAGAATTTTTTTTTAAAAAGTAGAGAAAAATGTTAGTTTATTTTTATAGATTTTACTGTTTTTGTTCCTGTTCTTGCATGAGCGAGTGGTGCATGTTGTCTGTTGTTTCAGAGCGGGGTGAGAACCCACACATGTAAACATGCTGCTGTTTGTAGAGAGGCTCTGCGAGGACAACGACATGATGGCAGAACTCGTCTGCCCTGTGTCAGTCTGTCCCTGTCCTGCTTGTGTCAGGTCTCCAGACCACAGGATGGACGGGGAGGGAAATCCACCGGGCCAGGAGCAGACCAGTCTGAGAGAGGTGTGGTTCAGAGCTGCCTCCACAGAGCAGGAGGGGGACCCATCAGGGGGGTCTGAAGGGAGAAAACATAAAGTAAAGATGTAACGTGGGATCCACATGAGGAGGGGTGTACGTGAGTTGCTACAATGTTTTAGATTTTGGTAGAAATTAAAAATATGTTTTATAGTAAATATACAAGGTGCAGAGACGGGATTGGATCAGCATCCAACCAAAGCAAAGCCGCAAACTTTCAAGCTCATCAAGAAGTCAGAAAATTAGAAAAGCTTCCTATCCTCTCTGTCACTTATGACACAATGCACATTTACTATCTGAGGTTATGAGCAGAAAAAGGAGTAATGGGCTCGACACACGGGAGGCCACATCGCCTCTCCTCCATTCATTTTCAATGAGACGTGCGCGACAAAGCGATAATCGCGGGTCTCCCTCCTACTAAGCGAAATGCGAAAAACGTGCGTGTGAAATTTTGCACTCGTGCACGTGTCGTGCACGGACGACCCAGCGACGCGATCCCAGAAAGTTGAAACATTTTCAACTTTTCATCGCTGTCGCTCGGACGAGGACCAATCAACAGAGGTTTCATTCACTGACCAATGAGCGGACAGGATGCTCCGTACACCTCCGAGCAAACATGGAGGGCATGTCGAGCCCCTCACTGTCTGGAACGGCGCTACGTCCTTGTTTCTCTCCAAGGCTCATGCCAGCATTTCCAGATGAACTGCATGTCAGACGTCTTCCATCGCTAGCAGGTCTGTGTTTGGGTCTTGTCCACCCCACGCCCCTCTTCACCGCTCACTACGTTGAGCCAAGGTGAGGTGCCTGACACATTGCTTACAAGGACACCGTCCTTCCTTCATCAAAGAAAACAGTTAAATGGAACAGACTTCCATCACATGGGCGACGGTGGCACAGGAGTTAAGCGCTCGCCCCGCAGTCGGAAGGTTGCAGGTTCGAGTCCCGCTCAGTCTGTTGCTGTCGTTGTGTCCTTGGGCAAGACACTTAACCCACGTTGCCTGCTGGTGGTGGTCGGAGGGACTGGTGGCGCCAGTGCTCGGCAGCCTCGCCTCTGTCAGTGCGCCCCAGGGCAGCTGTGGCTACATGGTAGCTCATCACCATCAGTGTTTGAATGTGTGTGTGAATGGGTGAATGACTGGTTGTGTTGTAAAGCACCTTGGGGGGTTCCAGGACTCTAGAAGACGCTATATCAAATACAGGCCATTTACCATTTACATGACCGCAGCTCTATCTGTGGCCATGTTGCCTCACAGGACATGTGAGGTGACGTTATATTTTATGCGTACAAGTTGCAATATAAATGTATAACAAGACTTTTACTTTTTAAATTGTGTATATATTGGTTAAATTAAATATGGAAGCAAGTTACTACCTGCTAGCCACCAAAGCTGCAACTAATAAGCAACTAACCATAGACAACTGCTTTGGATGTTTAAAAATAAGTAGATATCAGCCCAATAGCTACAATTAACTGATTTACATTTAAACATGAAATTTGCCCCCAAAGTAGCTGCTGGCTCCTGATCCACCATGCTTCTGAAAATACCGCGGTGAGTATCCCACAACCAGCGTGTGTGTGTGTCCAGACTCAACCTCTTTATAACAAAGACACAGGCCAGGATAGAGTTGGTCCACATCACTCCAAAGTCTTCATTTGGTTTTTTTCAGCCAATCAGAGGAGGGTGTGCTGGCATTCTCCTTAAGGATTTTTTGGTAGCCATCAAAGTGTATGGTTTGATTTGTGTGCGTGTGTGTGTGCGTGTGTGTGTGTGTGTGCGTGTGTGTGTGTGCGCGTGTGTGTGTGTGCGTGCGTG